ACATCCTAGTTTGAAACATTCTGGGTGGGGGTGGGCTAGTGTCCGTCTGTGCAAGATGTCTAATTTAGACACTTGGAAACTTTCCAGTACAGTAAACTTGAATAACGATGGTAATGTGCTCAATATTTGCGGTAAGGTGGTCATTAATTACTATTAAAATAAAGGCGTAATATGCATTACCAAGGTATTTCATATTTTGTTTTATCCTCTTCTATTAACTGAAATGTAAACTGTATAATAATGTTTATGAATGGTTGTTGAATATTATATAATAATAGTAAGAGGAGATGGGACACATTATTGTTTGTCAGTGGTTTACACCCATAATAGTTATCCATCTGAAACTGAAGAAAAATAAGACCTAGTTTGTTGCTGTAGTAAATTAATGTAAACAAATATGTATGTTATAATTAATGTTACTTAATGTACAGTAAAGTAACCACTGATGTTAAAGAAAAGAGAGTGATAGTGAGGCAAGCCAATGTATACAGTACTTGGCCTTAAAGAAACCACGTCATTTATCTTATTAAGAATATGTACAAAAGATTCATTATTGTTTATTTCTGTATTTGATTGAATTAATGTTTATATAAAATAGACTACAATTTCATTAATAATACATAAAATATTAAAACAACAAAGAGATGAATTGTTTTTCATGATTTTAAGTGGTGGTGGCGATGGTTCTACATAAGAAACTGAAGAAAAATAAGATTGCAGCAAAACAGTGATAATATAAAAATTAATATGTATGTTTTAAGTAATGATATTTAATGTTAATAAATGGAACAATAAAGTAGCTAACCATTAATGGTAAAAAAAAACTAAATGGATTAGGGGTATAGTATGTAAGTACATACATGGAAAATATTGTCATTTCTCTACAAAGACTATAAACATTCATGTTCGTTATATATGTTTTAATAAATACTGTACTTACTAATGTAAAACAAAATTCTACTCACAAATGGTGGTAAAGTCAGACATAAGAGAGCCAATGAATGTTGTGAGAGTTTTACTCAGATAACGATATCAGTTTCACTCTGGCTGGCGAAGGTTCAACTCTGGCTGAAGCTGTAGGTTCAACGGCTGAAGCTGAGCTTTCCATATAAGATGTGGTGTTACTGAAACTGCTTATGTGCTGAAGTTGATGGTGTAGCTAGAGTAGACGTTTTAGGCCTTCAAATGATAAAGTTGTTGAAAGAACCCTTCAGTAGCTTTTCTTTCTCATTATACATCTTTGTAGAGGTCATGCATTTCTTCACATCCTGTTAATTTTAAGGCTTTGTTCTGTTAATGGATCCACTTTAGAAAATATGTTTAATTGCTCCATATAATATTGATAAGGTTTTGTGCGAAACCTTATGTCGTGTGGTATCTGTTCGCCTCATCCACACAAGCTATTAATAACTTGTTATTTTTACTATTATCTTATTGTTGTTACATAGGTTAATTGTATATCTATGTATGTCATTATATGCATCATTTGTGTTACTCTGTTAAGTCAAACCAAAGTAGTATTAATTAGTTATAGACTATTTGGCAATGTCCTGGGTCACATGAGGCTAAGGCGCTACTCATATCGTGTGGCCAGAGACTCTCTCCAGCGTGGTATAGGCTATAGGCAGGATGTGTCCACACCCGACCCATTACAGGCGTGCCTTGTTCAGTCATCTACAATACCCTAGTGGTATCTGGTAATTAATTAGCCGCGTTAATTTAGGCCTTGGAAGGGATCCTGGTGTTAAGGATTTCTATTTGGTAGGAAATAACCAGTTGGTTGTGATTGCTCTGTATATATTGTAATGTCTGTGTTTAATACAGTTAATGTTAAGTAGTATTCATTTGATTTAACTCCTTAGGTATATTTCACCCTTCCGGCATCACTCTTATTTTAATATACAATCACTTATTCCCTTAAATTCCATGGTTGCCAGACAGTACTCTTTTAAGAACATAAATTGAATTATTTAATTATCTTCCCATTTGTGACTCACTTACTCTAACTTATTCTTATTTATTCAAGTACATTCAGTTGAGTCGTTTTTTTTTGTGGGGATAATTATTGCCGTGTTCCCTGTTTGTTCCTTTATTTGATGATAACTTGGGGTAGGTTTCACTCCCCAGGTATAAAGTATATTGGGATCACGACAAATATTCGCAGACCTTTCACCCTTTTCATATTATTTTAACACATCCAGTTTCTCGGCTAAGCTTATACACTTTCTTTTAGCTTTTGAACCAGCACTACCTTCACTTGTTCTCTTGCTCATGTTGAATAGGGACGCAAAAATGCCGTAAGAAACCTGAGAATGTTTTTCTCCTTTTCTTATTCAGATCGGTGAAAACAAAGGCCGCCAAGCTGCTACAGTTTATACTAGTGATGCTGATATCACCAATCATAAGCCTGGCACTCTCCGTGCACAAGGCGTGTTTTTTTATTTGCATACAGTCAACCCTCACTTTACGCGGTTAATGTAACCCACAGGGTACCGTGGAAAGTGAGAAACGCGTAAAGTGAATAACATAACATATGGGATTAAATGAAATAGAGACCAGCTGACCCCCAAAACTCCACTTTTTCCAACACAATACCTATGTTCTAGTAAAAATAACATCTTAATTTTATGATGGTACATGCACACAATTAATACTTAAAGAGAAATACAATTAAGCCAAGTTAATGTCCATTCAAATAATGGACTCAACTCTCCCCTCTTCTCACACTACACTGGCTGGCTCTTCCCTCTCTGAGTGGGAACCAGGTATAGTAATAAATAACCTCAAACTAAAGTTAGGATAATATAATTGACATTGCTGGATTCGTATGACCAGGAATATTTTGAATATAAATTGCATATTTTTAAAAGATAACATATTTACTGGAATTAAACATTTATACGTGGGATGCTATAACGAACATAATTGGTTCCAGAACCTCGTTAGTGCAGCATTAAACATCGGGTTAATCGTTCCTTATGAAATACAACCACTTAACACTGAAAAATTCCTTGAAAATGTAAAAACAAGTACTTTTATCTTACCTTAGTGTTATTCAGCATGCAGGTACCCCTAAACACTGGCACATCACTATCACTTCCACTGGAGTCTTGGCTTTAAGGTCCTCAAACAATTGTTTAGCCTTCTCTAATTAAGCTTCACTAATGTTACCACCTGCCATTTCTTTCTCCTTTATCCACACTAAGAGTAAATTTTCCATCTCTTCAATCACATTACACTTTGCTTTGCTAAGTCTAAGATTCCCTTAGCCACTTGCACAGTTTTAACTCCTCTTTATTCTTCAAAATCATATAGTCGATTTGCCATCCCATATTCATCACTAAGTTTACGTAACTTCTTCCATTCTCACGACAATTTCTTTCTAAGTTTCAAGGGTTATTAGCTTTCTCACTCGCTTTGGGCGACTCATTGTTACAATTGTATACTTGTATAACAAAATAGTTATACAAATAACGAGCTACATCAAAAGACGAAATTTCAAAACAGTGGTGCACTGTACACAATGAGACAAAGATGGCCTGGCTCTTGTTGTGTGGGCGGTACAACAATATTCATCGCCAGGCGAAATAGTCCCGTATTCATCAGCGTTAGATTTAGTAGGTTCGAGTTAGTTATAGCATTCTCAATTTTATAGGTAAACCGTTAGATTATAGGAATATTAGTAGTAGGATCCATTCGTTATAGCATACCCACTGTATCTAAAATTTGTGTTCTAATGCAAAATATATGATGTTTATATTCAAAATGATCATCAAATTGTAAAAATTCCAGCAATGTAAATTATATTCTGGCAGGGTAATTTGTATGGATTTTATGAGCTAAAACAAATATCTTCAGTTAATAAAAAATATATATTCTTCACACCGTGCCAGGTGGTGGGTCATGGTCCCTCCCTCCTCCTCCCACCCACCAACCCTCCCAACCAGATAAATGTGTGGGAATACCAGACTGTTTACCTTTGTAATAAAGAATAAATCAGACTAAAGTTAGGATAATATAATTGACATTGCTGGATTCCTTGTAAGACCAGAAATATTTTGAATATAAATGTCATATATTTTGCACACAAGATAACATATTTACTCAGGAGTATTATATCTAAAATTTGTATGTCTAATGCAAAATCTATGATGTTTATATTCAATGATCATCAAATTGTAAGAATTTCAGCAATGTAAATTATATTCTGGCGGATAATTTGTATGAATTTTATGAGCTAAATAAAAATTATACTTCACCCGCGTAAAGGGGTACACCACATGAGGAATGTGAGCATCCTGGGTTCTGGCAGGGCCCCGTTAATGCGTGGAAGCGGAATGTGGGACGCGTAAAGTGAGTTGACTGTAATACATATCGGGATTTAGTTATTATTTATATGAAAATGTAATTTTACTTTATTTTTTATTCTATTTTCGTTGTAAATACGAAGAAAATAATGGTGTAAATCGAATTGGGTCCTAAATTAACCAGGGTCTTAAATATGAATCGATTAGTTGAACCATAGATCGGAGGCCTCCTGTAACCAGAAGATTCCGGGGATAAGGAATTTTTCCGGGTTTGAGAAAGTCGTCTGGTTAGCCAGAAATATCTCATCCCCGGAAGTGCTTTGCACCAATTGTTCTGGCTAACAGGGATATCACTGTTTAAAGGTAATGAGGAGGCTGTTGATACAAATTTAGTGTCCATAAGATCCTGGAGTTGGAGATACATTCAAAGGGTAAAGGGTCATGTGAGTACAGAGATATGGATGGAAAAGAGTATATGAAGTACTTAGATAATTTCTGGGATATACAGAAATGTGGTTTGCTTTATGAAAAACCTCTCTGAGACTACTTATAATAAAAATTTGTCTTTATTCCCTTCGGATCAATATGAGAGGAACTTTGAATCCTCAAGGGTGTAATGAGTAAGTAAATGAGAAGTAGAAGGGAAATGGGTGATTGATAACTAATTTTTTTTACATTAAATGGATACATTACCTGCATGAGAGCATGGATGATTTTCCATTGCATAGGCCGAAAGGCTGAGTGACCAAAAATTCTTGGAGAACACGGAGGTGATCTTTGCTTGGTGCAGGAATCCCTTGAGGAAGAACGTCATTTTCTATGTCAGTTGTCTGATCCTAAAAAATTTAAAATTCAATTTTAACATAACATACTACAACTTCTTTTGAATGTCATGTAATATACAGTATATCAGTTTCAGAAGTAGATAACATACATGAAGACATTCATTCTTGTAGGTTAAAACCAATAAATCCCTTTGGTTACTTCAGTATGATACAAAATATATACAGGGGGGCCCCCAAATTCGCGGGGGTCAGGTTCTCAAAATGGCCGCAAATCGCCAAATCTCTGAATAACATTTGCAGACCGGGGGTGGAGGGGGGCGTTACATTTTTACTTGTGTACAAAGTAATGTATATTCCCTTTATGTGTTTGCCTTGGACAATTATTTCTTTTACCTATATTGTATACTGTATAGGGTATGTGTGTGTGTGTGTGTGTGTGTGTGTGTAGACACACACAAATAAATAATAATGGGAAAATACTCTCTAAAATAACCAGAAGTGAATTTATTAAAAATGTGACAGTCTACCCTCAAGTCCTTGCTTTATTAATAAAGTAATAACGACGGCCTTGAGGGTAGACTGTCACTTTTTAATAAATTTGTTTTGTTATTTGTGAGAGTATAATGTATTTATTTTAATACAGATATGTTGTTTTGTTAAGGAAATTACTGTCTCTAGAACAAATGGCTCTGTCCCAGCCGCAAAAATGCCGGCACTTTTAAAACTACCCCATTCTTGGGTACATCCAGAGTGTCATCCGCTATTAATAGAGGACCCAAAATAAAATCCATAAACTTGTGGGGCCCTCTATATACAGAAAATGTAGCTTAAAATTTAAATTTAAAATCAAGCAAATTAAAGATATTATGTAACTCTATGACCAGAAATTAGTCAGAATATCATAAAAATAAATTTAATGAAACAGAAATCAAGTGATCATGCAATATTGATATTTGGAATATACTGTACAGTATTTAATAATTGCAAATGCACCAAGTTCAGGAGATATTACCCAAAAGATACAGATACAGCAACTGGAGTAAATATTGAGCAAACTAATTGTGATTGCTGAAATAAAGACCATCAATAAACAGGTTTAATAAATAACACTTTGGTCATTCATAACTCACTGCAAATCATAAAAAGGCCAGAAGGAATTTATTGCTCACTTGGAGTATGATCACAACAGGAACATGAAATATCTGAGTGGAGACAGTCAGCTAATTTGAATGCAGTAACTGAATACCGTAATGTGTGGATGTATGGCTTTTTCATTGAACCCATCATGAGCCTCAACACAGGCAGTCAGCTTTAGATGCTTAAGCAAAATCTGACTACAGTAGACTAGTGAAGTAATCTTCATCACAGTTTTATGGTCTTTTCAGCTGGAGGTCAAGCGCAGGGACAGAAAAGAGGTTCACAAGGCTAAGAAGCATGAACAGGATGCATTTCTGGGATATGCTGAATAGTGCTGATGCTAGAGGTGAAGTATATACAGGTATCGAAAAGCATGGCAAAAAAGGTTCACAAACAAGGATGTTGTTGGTGAGAAGTGCATGAAAATGACTATGGTAATAAAGTTACAGTACTGATAATGAGAAATTCAAGAATACTTGTATTAAATACTATAATCGAACTGCTGAATGAGGAGTCTGATAGGGACAGGAGCAACCTGGCATCAAAGCCCAAGGATTGAAAGAGAATGGGTGAAGGAAATAATTGACAAAATGAAGACTGGATAGGTTGCTCTGGAACAGCTGCAAAAATACTGAAAGCATTAGACAAGTTAGCGTGTTGATGGAGACCGAACTGATTAATGTCATTATTATGATGGACTGTTTTGTTCCATCTGATTGGCTGAAGAGTGTGACTGTGAATACTTACAAGGGTAAAGGTGATGCCCGAAGCGGTTAGATCAAGTTATGAAAGTTGTGAAAAGTGATCGATAAATTGATAAGTTAGATAATGGACAATTACAAGAGAAATATCAGGGAAGAAACTCTAAATTTGTAAACTTACAGAAGACATTCGACAGTGAGAGAGTCCAGGGTCATGGAGTGTCTTGTTCAAGTGTTTATGGCATTGCATGAGGACTTAAGCAGGTAGGAATAAATGGCAAGGAAAGTGAGGAATTTGAGGTGAAAGCGGAGGTTCATCAAAAGTCTGTCTCGGTGCTGAAAGTATTAGCAAGGTTTTGCTTAGAGGTAGGTTGAGATGGCTCAGGTATGTGGAGAAAATGAAGAAGATCAATTGGGTCAAGATATGCAGGAGTCTGAATATGGAGAGGAGAGACTATACTAGCTAGGGAGGGTGGTGATGGGTCTCCAGATTACACTGTCTTACTGGTCTCTTGTATAACAATATGAAGCAAACAACTTTGATTTCTGAGAAATTCTTGTAAATAAAAATACTCAGTCACTCACTTTCATAACACTAGCTCATGAAGGTACAATCAGTCAAGCTAAAAATCCATCATTATCTTTATAAGAAAACCTCACCAACAATGATTTGAGAGTAATCTGGACCCTCAGACATATCCAGATCATCATCCTCAAAGATATTCTCCAGTTCTTTTTGAGATATATCATCCTGGTAACCATCCTCATAACCAAATGCCTCGGCCATCTCCTGCAAATACTTGTCCTCCATTGCAGTGGATGTCATGCTGACATTAACCTATGGAAAAGGATTCATATATAGATAAGATTACCAATGCAAATATACCAGTGCTTGAGCCGGGATTTGGAGGCACAACTTCAAACAAGGAAAGTATAGGGGACAACATCAAGAAGTTGCTTTGCAGCAAAGGGTAATTTATCTATAGAATCATATTATGTAACAGAACTATAGAAAAAAGATGCCTCAAAAGGCAGTTAGCTAATACAGTAATAAATATCCTTAGAATGAACAGCTGCAAAGGAAATTCCCTACCTTTAAAGACTAATGAAACAGTTCATAATTGTAGTCCATCCTTTCATTTATTTGTTCTCACTCTCTAAAATATATACAGTATTCATTGTCTATATCACATTTCATTACTTATCTCTGCCTGTCTGTCTGTCTACTCTGTCTACACAGACCCTCTCTTAAATTTCCAAAGCCATTCCTATAAGGTTAACTTAAGATGGCTGGGTTTAATCACTACAGTACTTAGACTGAAATATTAGATTAGAAATAAGCAGAGGTCTTATATTTCATTAAATAATCAAATTGTACAGTCAACAACATAATTTTCTGCAGCCCTGGGCTGACAGGTTTTGCAACAATCAGTAACATAGGCCATGTTCATTTGGTAAGGTTGGTACTTTGACTGTGTGATGCATTGTGTATATCACATATACTGTACAGTAGTCAATACAGAGAAATTAATGGGAATACAATACATAATTCATGAGTGTTGCTCAGAATTCTTGGTCCAGTATGTCATACTGTATAACACCATAAAGGTGCAAATTTTTTGTTGATTGTACATCTCAAAAATGTATCTGCCAGGATAGGGTCCAATGACTTCCGAAATGCTAAATGCAACTCGTAATGTCCCGGTAGGGTTGGTACATGTGACTCGTGGCATACTGATCCTACATTTGGTAACCGAACATCATATTAATTATGCCAAAATAAATACACATTGCATTATTGATGTTAAACTACAGGTATATACCTAAGTAAATACATGTCCCAATATCTATCATCCGTGGTCTCATTATGTTCCACACAGTGTGGCCAGATACTCTTTTGAGATAGTGTACTGTACATTGTCATGAACCCATTAATAAAACTTTGGAAAAACCTATCTAAGCCAAACATATTATATATTAATATATTTTGGGGGGTAAAATTCCTGAAGAGCTCCACCAGCTGATAAATAAATTTACAAGAAACTTACCATTACAGAAGTTACAGATCTTTTTGGTTTGATGATTTTTTTTTGAGGGAGGGAAGGAGGAGGAATGATGAGTACTGAAATAAAAAAAATTAAAAAAATGGCTTTTCTTTTGCAGGTATTACAGATATAATGGGTGAGAAAATTTATTTACAGCGGCTTTGGAAAACTTGTCATCCTGACAAAGATGGAACACTTTTTACAACCCAAAATGATATTTCCAGAGAAAAAGATGTGCCGCAGAACACACTCCGTGAATACAAAATCTCTGCCACACCAAACTACAGTACAGAGTACAGGTCACCCCGATGTAGTCATACCTTACCCCATCCCCAAGTTACAATCGGTCACATCTGGTTTAATGATTGCCCCTACAACCAACCATCTCTATCACATGTCTCAAAGCAATTGACGCCAACAAGGCCTCAACCATAACTATTCCTTGTCCAATCAGAAAGCTCTGTTTTATGCCAATTTGAGAATGTAAAATATTGTGATGTATTTGTTGACTGCTCATTACTACTACTAATACTTTGCTGTCACTCAGAATTGAATATAACAATCATCCAGCTATGATACAATGATGTGAGTTATTAGGGATGTCACCTACGTTGGTCAGTTCTCGGGTGACTAAGGATGCCGATCTCGGGACAGGCAGGGTTGCTCACAGAGGTTACACATGTGGGGGGCTACTTCTAGTGCAGGAAGGACGGTGGTGACGTCTTTCCTGCATTGGCGCTTGTCTGCCTTGGTATGTAGTCGGGCTAACTCAAAAGTATTGACACCTTCTTGTGTGGTGCTCCTCCAAGCATTACGATGTGGAGTAATCGCCTGATAGGTGAGGGGGGTCGATTTGGCACTATTTCAGTTTTGTCTTAAGACTATCCTTATACCTTTTCAGTTGCCCGCCAGCGTTACGTTTATTATTCGTTAGGTGACTGTAAAGTAGCTGAGTGAGTGGATTGGTGGATTAGTGAACTTTGCAAGGATTCTATACTGTAGGGTCAGGGGGTCCTGGGAAATTTCAATACAGTGGTCCCTCGGTTAACGAGCACAATCCGTTCCAGCAGGTTGCTCGTTAACCAGAACCATTGTTTCAATGGGTTTTGGGTAGTGGTTCCAGCTCACCGAAATTGCCTAAATTCAACAAAAGGGTAGAAAAGTACACTTACTTTGGGGTGTGTATGTAGAAGGCTCCTGGATGATGATGATGATGGGAATTAGAATGGGGGTGGAGGAGAAAGGAAGAAGAAGGCATTGGGGTGGAGAAGTCACATGGCACCATTTCACCCATAAAATTTTAGTTCTCTTGGTGTATTTCAAGATTATTTTCTTTAAATCCTGCATTATATATTGTCAATATGTAAAATATATTTCAAAATGACCAATAATTTGCTTGGAAACACAGAAAAAAGCATTTAGTTGAAGAGTCTCAAGCAAGATGTTACCTCCACTGAAAACAGAGAGAGAGAGACTAACACCTGTCTGGTGTGTTAACAGGCTGGATGGCCCGCCAGAAGCTAGTTTCTTTACCTTCAATTATGTTCAATAATTGTTAAAATGACTAAAAAGTTAATATTAAACTTAAAATAATTGAATAGTATAAACTTCTGATATTTATTAAAATAGTAAGAATTTAGCCTAAAACCGATTACTGTATTGGCGGACTAATACTACAGCTGGTGGACTGCCAAATGCAAGGCTTATGTGTGAGTATTTCGTAAAAAAACTCGATTAATCGAGGATTGCTCGTGAACCGAAGTTAAGAATCTTATGGAAGGTAAATCGTTAACCGAAATCTCGTTAAAGGTCGTTAACCGAGGGACCACTGTACTTTTTATTTCTTGCAGTATTGTACTCAGGCATTTTTGTAAAGCAAAAAGTAATTATTACTGACCTCAGAATATCTCCTAATATCAAGTACATGTGGCCTCAAAATGCCTATCATATTGGGCAGATTTAAAAAAAATCCGGGGGCAGCTGGGTGGGCTCGCTATGTTCTCCCACCCACAACTTCTTGGTTCCACTTTTGACATTCCTGGATCTACCCCTGACGAGGATGGCTCACTCCAATGGGCGAAAACATTCACCCCCAAATCTGGCACTACTGAACGCTGCTAGGTAAACAAAATAGTTGGCAGGCAAGGATTAAAGGAAAGAAGGCACACATTTTGGTGAATTCACATTCTCTTATTGTCTTGCTCACTTTTTTTTTACCAGGTGCAATGGAAGTCCATTACTAGGCAGCTACTAACAGCCCTAACACAAAAAGGTACAGAAACCTGTCTTACTTCCCATTTCCAAAGGATCCAGAAAGGTGAGTCATAAAGCTACTTCTGTCAACGTTGACTGTTCATTAGTTTTTAAGAGCTCTTTCTTTATTCAATGCATTTGTTATTGAAAACATTCCACTTTTCAGAACTGCTTGTTAACATCAGAATGTTAATAGGATATACAGTACTACATATAAAATGAGCAGGATACTGTTGTACATTTTGTTGAAAATATAAGGCTGGAACTTTTTAGTTTTGGGTCATCATTTGTTTTAGTTGCCCATGACATTTTGGACAAAATTATGTTTTTTCCTGTATACTGTATTTCAATGAGTTTTGAATGGATCTCATTTTATTTCTTGGGCAAATTCATGAAAACGTTACCAACCCAACGTAAATTTGGTAAAAAACACAAAAAATAAAAAATAAACCTATATTTTTATCTAACCTAACCTTATCTTTGTCTTGGCAGTTTTGTGTCATTTCATGAACAATCTAAAATTTAAGAATTGGCAGAGTACAACCACGGAACTCTATGTTGATTTTTATATTGGGAAATAGCGCAGAAAAAATTATAAAATACATTGGAGTGCTTTCATATTTTTCCAGTTATAAGTACAGTAAAACCCCGCTTTACGCAGTTTCACTTCTGTTTCCACTTTTACGCGGTACCCTGCGAACACACGGAATGCTCACTTTACCGTGCGTGTACCCTTTACCTTGAGCGGCTGGCAGTCCTCTGCGCCGCGCCTATTTTTATTCAAACCTCCGCCATGTTGGGTAAGCAGCGGCCAGTTGCGCAGTGTATGTCTTTGTTGCGTTATCGGTGGCGTCATATGATGTATCGGACTATGATTGGGCCAAGCATCCTTACCTCTCTCCCCACTAGCTGTGATTGGTTTAATGTACTATGGCGTGCCGCCATAGGAGGCGTTCAAGCCTTGACCTACCAGCGTCAGTAACGCCCCTCCCGGCTACACCATGTATGCTCGGTGTTCCATAAGAATGGAAGCTTCCACCCCGGGGACCACCACCACCACCACAAAAGAAACCTTGCATTACCTGGACCTTTACTAAGCCAAAAATACGATGTTCCCTAAGCTACGAAATTAAATACAAGATCATCCAAGAGAGTTGGAGAAAAGGAACAAGACAGGTTGATCTCGGCGCTCCAGCATGAGTGTTACCAATCTCACGATCAGACAATTAAGAGGATGCGTAAAGTCTACGGAATTCTATGATCAAGTAATGCCACAACCAGGTGCTTCTCAAGACGGAGAAGAGAGTACTTGTGAGGCTGCCGATTAAGATCAGGCGCGAAGCGGAACTTACGCCCAAGCGAGTGGACCGCGGCGCTCCAGTAAAAAGGACTAAATGCGTGAACTTCAGCCATGCCGAGGTGTCACGGGGTGGTACCAGAGCCGACGCTGTGCTCCCTGGGTGGTTGCAGAGATTTAAGAAGAGAACAAAATCACCAACATTAACATTAGCTGGTGTGGTACGGCTAGTGCTGACGTGTT